AATCAAACTTTGGATCATTTCCCTCATTTAAAATCATTTGGCACAGTGAACCAAAAAAAATTGGATCAGTATTCTCAACTTCTGCAAAATCTGATCACGGAATTCAACAATCGTTTTGAAGACTTCCACAAAATGAATGAAACGGAATTCCCAATTTTCAACAATCCATTCAATTTTGAAGCTTCACAGGCACCAGTTCATTTGCAAATGGAGTTGATAAATCTTCAATCGGACAGTATTTTGAAAGAAAAATTTAAAGAAGTTAACGCTCTTACATTTTATACACACTATTTTAAGAGTTTGGATAACTTCCCGGAATTAAAAAAGCATGCAGCACGCATTCTGAGAACAAGAGAAGTCAGGTATCTGGATTCTCGAGCTCAAAATAATTACCATCTTTTATAACTTTGATATGATTTTTAACAACCATATATTATAAACTATACATATAATTAGACAAAGAAAATTGTATAATAATTCAGTAAATTTTTTTTATTTGCAACTGGCCCGCATACATATTCTAAATTTAATATATGGCCCTCTGCAAAATTGAGTTTGACACCTCTGGTGTAAGGGCATGGAACGTTCCATGCCTTTTGCCCTTTCCCCTTCCCTCTCCTCCTTTTTTCAGTTGTATAGGAGTGTATTACGATATTTTTCCTTTTCTTAATATTTTTCGTATTTAATGGTTAAAAATATTTTTTAAAATTTCCATGACGCTTTCTTTTAGATTTATGTTTAATGTAGTTTTCAGTTCCATATAGTTTCCTAACTTATGAGATTTTAATCTATTTTAAAATCAAGACAGAAACTAACGTATTTCCTTCTCCTATGACTCTCCACACGCTAATGGGGAAAGCACGCGAAGTGGTGCCATAGGTAGAGAGTTCTGCTCTAAGCCACTTGTAGCCCATTTCGATCGCCAATAGAAAATAAGACTATTTTAATTCAAAATATCAAACTTTACATTTTGACTGTTAAATTAACAAGATACGTAAGTTTAAAAAATAGTTGTTTAATGACAGAAGAAACAAGGGAAAATGTTATCGAACAATAGAGAAAGTTCTAGAAAATTATGAAAAAATTAACTTTTACTTATAAATTTGTTTATAAATTATTAGACAATAATGCATTTTTCCTTTTCTTTTTTTTTGCGTTTTAAATTTTTTAAAAAGTCTTTTGAAGCAAAAAAAAAAGATATATAATTTTTTTTTTCATTGTTATAAAACTTTTTATGCTTAGAGTTCACCAAAAAAGGAATAAAAAACTATTTGATAAAAATTTTAGTCCATAATTATATTGGAAAAGCTTCCGCATTGAATTAAAGTTATTTAAATTATTTTCAGGCTATTTTAAAATCAACGAAAAAATTTATTTTAAGGACAATATCTTAAACGCCCCATAACATTCACAGCGTACATTATCTAAATTCCGTCTACTCTGAAAAGTCTATAAGATACCAGCAACGAATCCCCGATGGATCATCCGTGATTGAGCTGTCTGGTTGGGTGATCCATGACATCCTGTAGTACAAATCTAAATCTCTTACGGAGGAAATGTGCTACATGGATTACGAAATGATAATTTAATATTACGAGTCATAAGAATCTTCCAAGTTTCTTACATTTTATCAGGTCGCGAAACCTAAATTCTACTAAAACATTTATAATCAGCCAATGATGATTGGCAATATTTTGAAGGATTAGAAAATTATCAAATTGAGATTTATTTTATTTATTCCTGCCATTATTTCTTTATAGTAGTAAAAAGATTCTTTACTAATAGTTCATATCATTTTGTATTTAGGTCAGGAAATAATGTCTTCTATTGAAAGAAGTAAAAAGAAATTATCTGACGACAGCATTAAAATTTAATACGCTTTAATAACAAGAAAATAAATTGGCCTATAATACACGCTAGATGTAATTCTGATTTTTCCTGCTGCAAATGCTATATAAAACGCCTGGGCTTCCCCTTTGTTTTTTTTTTGTTTGTTTTTGTTAGTTAGCGTCAGTTTTTTAACAAAGAAATTGAAGAGAAAGTATTTAAATAATTCAATTACTTAATATGTCTTCAAATTTCAGAGAGTAAAAACAAGACAGTGGTTACGGTCTGATCACCTTTATTACTCATTACGTAAAGCCAATTCAACAGCACATTGTGTCTTTCGATACGTTCTATCACTCCACTTCTTACTGATGAATTTTTTAAAGTGGCATTTGGCAGAATTGAAAAAAGAAAAGAGAAAATTAACTTACATTTTCTCTTCTGATCTTATCTCCTTGACAGTTGCAACAGCAGTTAAGTCTGTTACTCTTGCTTCTCACGTTTTGCTGATTGGATACATCAAAGTAACATGAAATAGAGATGGGCATTCCGTTTTTCTTTCTGTCATACTTACGAAAATCCGAACTGAATTTACTCGATTGGGAAGATTCTGAAAGATAATTATAAAAAGCAAAATATTACTTTAAGATTAATGTAAAAGATATCTTTGCTGCGGAAATGAGTAAAAACGATAATTTCCACATTTTATATAACTCAACTCAGCAGACTAAATAATCCCCCATGTAATTGGAAGTTAATATGAAGCAAAACCAATTTCATGGAAGATTTTTGAATGAAAATAATCCGCACTTTAAACCGCGTTAAATTTAGGAAGAAAAAAAATTTTTTTTTGCTGTTATGGGATTTTAAATTGGGTACTAGCAATTGGGTATAATATGAAAAACTACTTCCACTTACTAGGAATAACATTTACCTTTTAGTTTAATTAATAAACTGAGTTTTAAATATGCTTACTAAATTCATAAACTTCGGTAAAACAACAATATAAATTATTTCCAAAGGAACTAGACTAATACAATTCCAACCTGGCGAGTAGCGACTTATAACAAGACACCTCGTTTGATGCTTTTACTTGTTGCTAGAAATCAGGTTCGCAGAAAATGCTGTTTACTAGTTAAATTTAGTAGGAATAACACGATCTGTGACGTAGGCTATAGTATACCCAATTAGAGAAGAACTGAAACTGAAGTGATTATGCCTAACCATGTTGATTTAAATCAGATTTAATTGGATACCTGTAAGCGACGTCACACGAGTGTGACGTCACACCTACATTGATATGCAACCTGCGTAATGAGCATAATTGAAACAAAAATATAGCACATCTTGTTTCAATGAACAGCTTTTAATGTTTCATTTATGCACAGTTTTAAATATGTCCAGTCTCTAACCTGCCCCGAAATAGACAACGCGTGATCTTCTTAATTTGTAACCCAGCAAAGTAAACTCGAGCTTACAGCTAAAACGTAAATAATTGCCAGGAATTTGTCCAAAATCTAAACAAGCACCTGTCCTGAAGCTCGTTCGTTACGTAATAAAACCGGATAAATCTCTTTCCTGGCATCGAACATCAACAAAAGTTGAGGCAAATAAGCAGTTTCGAGGCTTCGCCCATCACGAATTCATACTAAAGAACTTTAAAAGCAACTAATACGAGCGAATTATTGGACTAGTGCTTAAAAGACAAGGTTGAAGATTCAACTGCTAACCAACTTAATCACCAAAATGTAAATATTTGCTTTACTCTTGTTGGACATCAAGAGAAACTGCTTTAGAGACGAGATTTTTTCTTCATCTCGCACGAACAATTGTTCGTGCGTTACGTCATATATCCGGTTCTTTCTGGCTACACAGATTGAGGCAAGCGTTTAATAAATTAAAAATGAAATAGTTCAAAGACTCCGCCCATTAGGCGTTGTCTATTGAAGAAAGCAATTTCACAATTAAATCAAATCAATGGTTCGATTTAATCATGAAAGTTTATGACAGAATGTCAATCGTGATCAAAGTTATGAGGGGTTCAAATACTTACTGCTGTCAGGACCATAAAGGTTAGCAAATTCACTTTTCGCATCTTTCGATTGCAGCCCCGCTGGTCGGATAGTGTCGTAATCTCTTTCATCAAAATACTTGCAATAGGGAGGCACTTCGTCGTATTTCATACCGCCGTATCCATACCTCCTGCTACAATCCGAATAAGAGCCACTCGTACCGCAACANACCTGAGGTTGATTTATAATAACCTGAAGTGTAAAATGACACACCTTAGGTTGTTGAATAAATACTTCCACAAGTGTAAAAAAATATACTTCAGGCTAAAACATATATGCCTCTGGAGGTATATTTAAGGTATATTTGAGGTTGATTTTGAAGTATTCATTTGCACCCTTTTCAACCTTTACAACGTATTTAAACAACAACCTCCTTTATACCTTTATACCTTCTTTATACCTCGATTTTTTCATAAGGGAACCGACCTAATCACCAAAACGTAAATATTTGCTTTACTCTTGTTGGACATCAAGAGAAACTGCTTTAGAGACGAGATTTTTTCTTCATCTCGCACGAACAATTGTTCGTGCGTTACGTCATATATCCGGTTCTTTCTGGCTACACAGATTGAGGCAAACGTTTAATAAATTAAAAATGAAATAGTTCAAAGACTCCGCCCATTAGGCGTTGTCTATTGAAGAAAGCAACTTCACAATTAAATCAAATCGATGGTTCGATTTAATCATGAAAGTTTATGACAGAATGTCAATCGTGTTCAAAGTTATGAGGGGTTCAAATACTTACTGCTGTCAGGACCATAAAGGTTAGCAAATTCACTTTTCGCATCTTTCGATTGCAGCCCCGCTGGTCGGATAGTGTCATAATCTCTTTCGTCAAAATACTTGCAATAGGGAGGCACTTCGTCGTATTTCATACCGCCGTATCCACACCTCCTGCTACAATCCGAATAAGAGCCACTCGTTCCGCAACAAGTTTCCCGTTTGTTGTATCCATTATAACATCTACAGCTGAAATAATCACTTCTTCTGTAGGAACTGTAAAACTTTCACCGTGAGTACAAGTGAACATTATTTTCTCGCCAAACCATGCGCAGTTATTTGTCATATGTTATGAATTATTTTAAAAATACAAAGCTGTCACAATTGTGGAGAAAGTGGGACATTTGCCCTGGGATTCCAGGGGACCATTTCGTTTGCCATTTTCAGAAACGTTGCTTACGAATCAATGAAGTTTGTATGATAGCTATACTTGATGAAAGACTAGTTTTCTTACTAATAAAAAATTTGGCAAACAAAATAAAAATAAATTAATAGTTTAAGAGGCTGCTAGATTGATATACTTAACATATTTTAACTCAGATTCAGAAAACGAGCTACGAGAGTATTTTGTTGCTAACTGACCAAGATATCTTCCTCTTCCGGATTATTCCAAAACTATTAGTTGTATCTCATTGAATAGAACAGGCGTCTCAAGTTAACACGATTTTCCCACTCTCTACTCTTTTCCCTTTCCATTGCCATGGTATCCACCAATCTTGCTCTTTCTTACACCAGTATATTCGCACTTCTTCCTGAAACGTACAGTCTAAAAAAACTGTCTTGGGGGAAAAAGCAAGATTTTCCGTAACCATGGTAACGTGGAAAAGTAGGGAATTTCCGTAACTTTGAGACGACTATTCTATTTACAAAAAGTATAATTAGGTTTGATTCAGGAACTCTAGTCGAGCCGATTAGTAAAGTTTCCTAAGATTCTCAAAATGCTTAATTTCGATTGATTTACAACTTCAGAGAAAATACTCTTGATGTGTTGTACAGTTACATATTTCACTTTTAAATAAAGTTTTCGAAACTTTAAACCCCACGCTACCCTTTAAATGTAAAATAGATATTAAAAGTTCTTCGCAATTTTATGGTTTTGTTGGTTTGGAATTTGGTCGCCAATCGTTAATGTAAAATAACAATAACTGCATCAAAGATTCAGTAAGCAATTGGCGGCAACAGCATACTGCAACTTTGAGAACATCGATGACGTGTTAGACACTTAGAAAAATTGATTTTTTGAAATTTTACGATTTAAAATTGCCCCCTAAATCATTCTTAATTTTATGGTTCATTTGATTGGAGTTAGTTCGCCAATGGATCATGAAAATTAACTAATACCATTGAAGTAAAAATACATAAAGAGCAACAATTACAATAGTAACTTTAATATTAAAGTAAGATTTACCTATATTGATTGCAAAAGTGTACTAAAATCAAGATAATTCGACACAATATAGAATTGCGATACTGCAAAATTTTCTGAGATTTTTTCTACAATTTAATAATACTTAATATTTATCGATAGCTTACCCAGAACAACAATTAGACTCTTCGTAACACATGTTTTTGACTTTTAATTAATTAATCTATCTATATCTACTACATATATTTAATTCTTAAAAGAATCTGATTCTGAAATTTAGAGCTGTGTTCTACTTTAAAATAAAAATAAAATTTGAAAAAGAGTTTTACATTTTCTCGATCTCATCTTCAGTATTAATTATGCTTAGGCTAATCTAAAAATTAGAAATCAGAAATTTGCCTTCAAAAAAACAAGATGATAAAAAGGTAGAATAAATCAAATCATGAGATAAAAAAAAAGTGGTAATAGTTTACAATTATGTATTAACACAGATGATGATACTACAGGATGATAGAGTACTGTGTCACTGTATCACCCTAGAAATGCATAACTGAAGGGTGGCTAGGCACACTATAAGGATTGAGAATTGCAAAGCAAAGGACACTCGGAAATGTCATCGCAATGCCATTATGGGCGCCACTCCATTACGAACTGGCTGTTCGTGCATACCTTGAACGGTACTTTTATTTATTTAAACTATCTTAGTTTTATGTTTTCTATTAATTAATCTAAAATTACATTCAGATAGGCACAAAAATAGCTATTTTATGTAATTTAATGTTTTGTCGAATAATTTCCCAAGCTCGCAATTTGTAAGCTATAAGTGCAAATTACGTTAAAACAGCTATTTCCATACCCATTTCAATATAAATTTTGTCAATAACTATTATAAAACATAAAATTAATTGGATAAATAAAAGTACCGTTTCAAGTGTGCAAGAACAGTCAGTTAATAACGGGTAGGCGCCCTAAGTCGCGCACAATGGTATTTCCGGATATAGATTGTCATACTACAATTTATGATGTGCCTTACCTTCTATATATTGAATAATTCATACATGACCCAGGGTTCGATCCCGGCGATGGCTGGTCGATACGAATTCCGCATCTGGCTTGCACCGACCTCAGTGCTGACGTGAAATGTCCTCAGTGGTAGACGAATCATGGGCTAGAGACCCCTTGCCGTCAGGCTAACCGTGGGAGGCTCTCGTGGTCTTCCTCTCCAATGCGGGTTAGTTCCACCAAAAAGTCCTCCACGAAGGCAAATTTCTCCCAATACTTGATCCAGGAGTTCCCTTGTCTTCTGGATTGGGTTCAAAATTACAATGCTACGAAGTTGAACATTAGTAGTCGTAAACCCAAATATTGGGTCGGCTGTTCAACGACGGTTATAAAATAAAATAGTCCATACACTGACACGCCTATTTACTTGCTAGTTCAGGCACCAAAACACCGATTTACTAATTAACAATCCACTGATTCGTCGATGCATTTATTTGCTTCCCTCTCACACTACTCACTAATTAATCAATTTATTCACTCATTAACTATCATTCACTCATTAGCTTCAAACACGAACTTATTTCCATGTTCTAACAGCAAGCCTCGACAGACGGGCTTAGTACGTCGGTAGGATTGGGCACTAGGTGTGCGGGACTGCACGCGCGTCTTCTGGGTGACGGCAGTGTGGTTTTCGTGTCCGAGGGGCCTGGTCCTGCGTACCTCCGAATGTGTGGGGGATGTTGATTTACGCAGTGGCCACGAAAAGCCGTAAACCCGCTTCGCGGATCGGCTGGCCACCTGCGGTGACCAAATATCAACTTAGGGCCGGGATAGTCAGGTTGGTAGGGCACTGGGCCCATGTCCAAGAGGTCGTGGGTTCGATTCCCATCGGCCGAAGACTCCACGTGTAGTAAATGGTGACTGATGTTCATTAAATCTTCCGGGTCATAAAGTCCTCCATGTGCCCATAACAAATCATACCGCTGGGGGTACTGATCCAGGAGTTTCTTTCTCTTTTGGATTGGTTTAAAATTACAAGGCTACGGAGTTGAACATTAGTAGTCGTAATATAAAGTAGTTATAAAATAAAATAAAATCATCAACTTAGTCATAAACAAATGATGTTCATTATGTCGCAAAATATAAAACCAAATTTTAACTACAATATGAAAAAAAAAATATTTTCCATCAATGAATAAAAACGCTAAGTCTTGACCACATTCTAAAAATAAATACGTCATCATGTGTTAACTCCCGTGAACAAACACACACACACACATATCAAAAACCAAATAAGAAAATTTTTTGAAAATTAGTTCAACTTTTTTATTTAGTTATTTACGAACTAATTCGTTTATTCCGCTAAGTATATCCAGTGATACAGGCAAATAACTTATATGTTGAATATATCCGCCTTTAAAAATATTTTTGCTTGGTTATGTGTAGCCCTGATTGCTTTGAAAATAATTAAAGAAACGTTAACAGTATACTTTACGTAATTTTAACAAATAAGCGTTAATACCAATTTTCAGAATCGTGTGTCTAGCTTCACGGCTAATTTCTTTGGCCGAGTCTTACATCCCAAGAAATAAAATAGAATTTAATTAGGAAATTATTAACCGTACATCCTTTCAAAATCAAAACAACTAGTTGCGGGAGAAAGAGAGAAACATTTCTTCATCCATTCTAAAAGTTGGTGTTAAAACCCTTTCCTTGCGCAATTCCTTTTTCTTTTAAAAATCAAAATAGGTCAAAAAAAATTCGGTATTTTTTGTTAGATATTTCAAACCTATATACTTCAGAGTAAAAATATACAAAAAAAAATTTTTTTGCAGAAGTTTCTTTTTTCTTTTTTAAAGTAAAAATTAGATAATTAACCAAAAAGCTGCTGGAAAATTAAAAGAATAAAATTTTGAAAATTTATTTATTTTTTTAAGGAATTTTGAAAATTAAATCATGGTTGGATTACAATTCATTTTATGAAATACGCATGTATTAATAAAAGTAGACAGAATATTCTTACAAAACATATTAATTAGAACTACAAATACGATTTAGTATAGGGTAATTCCATATATACAATTCCATATATACAATTCCATATGTATATATCGGAATGACATTTTGACTTGCATGATGACAATTAATTGAAGTTTCTATGCATCTAATTTCAAATAAACATTATTTTTTCTCATGGATATCATTATTATTGGTATAATGTGATTCATAAACTAAAAAAAAACGAATTTTGTATTTTTTTTATTTT